TAGGCTTTGGTGTGAGCAAATCTATATAAACTATTGTGCCTCTCCGTGGACTAGTGTATAACGACGATACCACGTTAAAAAAGCTTTTGTGTTCTTTCATTTTTTTTTTTGGCTAAATTGACATGGTATCAGAGCTGAGATCCAGCCATTGATTCGTCTCAGGTTCGTTTGCTTTGTCTCAGGATTGGGTGCGGCAACTGCTTTGGCGTTCTCTCTTATTCCAGGCTTCTTCTGTATTTCGATCATTCGTTGGTTAACTTTGCATCTTCTTCGCGACTTTGCTCGCTTGATTGTGGTTCCTTCTTTGTTGTGTTCTCAGGATGGATTCTGGCCGGTTTGATTGTGTCTCAACAAAGTTCGACGGCAAGAACTTTGCGTTGTGGGAATTCCAATTCCGGAATTTCATTGCAGGCAAAGGGCTGCTCCCGATTCTGCCGGGACTCAGCCGCAACCAGCTGATGCCGCGCCGGCCAAGGAGCGAGCGGACTGGGCTATGGCTAACGCCCAGGTTATATCTTGGCTCGCGGGCTCCGTTGATGTATCTACCGCGCTTGCCTTGCGTCAGTTCACCAAGGCACACCAGATGTGATCTCACATCTGCACTACGTATTCCCAAGCCAACTCTTCTCGCCAATTTGATATGGAATTTGCAATCGCTAAACTGGTACAAGGAGATTCCGATATACGAGGCTATTATCAAACTAGTCTCAACTTATGTAAGGAGTATGATCTTCTTATGGCGTCTCTCTCTTACGAAGCTACTCCTCCGCAAGTTATCAAGGAGCGTTCCCGCTCTCGTCTCATGCAGTTCATTATGAAGCTCCGCTCCGAATTTGATTATGTTCGTGCTTTGATTGTCCATCGCGGGGTAACTGAGCTCGACGAGGTGCTTGGTGAGCTTTTACGGGAAGAAACAAGGTTGCGGAGCCAAGCCCAGATTGACAACCTCTCTTCCATAGGCGAGGCTGCATTTGCGGTGAGTAAGGGTAGCAGCAATCGACCCCAATTTTAGCCTCAAGGTACAAGCACTCTTACCTGTCATTTTTGACAAGAGGTCGGCCACATCCAGCCTCATTGTAAGAAGAGGAATATATGTATTTACTGCAAGCGAGCTGATCATATAATTCTGGAATGTAAGACTCTTGCTCAGAAAGGTGGTCTGCGTCATGGTTAGGACATCAAGGGTGCGAGCCCCTGGTCCTCTGCTGGTGCCTCTTATTATGCGGTGGTCGAGAATTCCTCCTCATCCGGCAACTCCTCCACGTCAAGTGCTGGGGGTGGGGCTGATTTGTCTTCTGACGCTATTCGCCGTTTGGTTAAGGAGGCTCTTCAGAATGCTCTCCCGCAAGCTTTGAATGCTTCTTTTGCTACAGGCGGTGCCTCATGTAATCTTCCTCGTTGGTTATTAGATTCTGCGGCCTTTAACCATATGTCTAGTGCTCGTAGTTGTTTCACCCAGCTTCGGCAAGCCAAGCCTATGATGTTGCAGGTTGTAAACGGTCCTAATGTTCCCGTTCAGGGGTCCGGCCTGGTTTCTTCTGGCAATATCCACTTATCCGATGCTCTCTATGTGCCCCAAATCGTCCCCAGTCTTGTCTTCGCGGGTCAACTCGCAGAAGATAATTGCAGCGTGGTGTTTAACTCTGATGGATGTATCATGCAAGATCAGAAAACATGGAGGGTGATCGGGAATGGGCATAAGCATGGTCGAGTTTTTGTCCTAGATGAGTACCAGAAGTCCGGGAACGTGGGTGAATTGGCGGCCCCAGCGCAAGAAATTTATGGTGGGAGCTCGGCTGGAGTTTCTACTACTAGTCATCCGTTTTCTCTTCATAAACAGGCAGCCTAAGAAGTTTTAAATAAGTCAGGTCGCGAGACCTCTAACTTAGGTTATTCTGTTAAACCTGGATCTTTGAATTTTCTGATCATGTGTGAGTTGCATTGAGGCAAAAATGTCCCAGTCATCTTTCTTGCCTAGTGATACTGCTTACAATGATCCATTTGACTTAGTTCACACTGATTTGTGGGGGCCCTCATCTGTTACGTCTCGCCTGGGTTTTGCTACTTCGCCTTGTTCATCGATCATGCAATGCGGCACACGTGGATTTATTTCTTGCGACGCAAGTCCGAGCTAGTCACCCATGCACAACACTTTATGAAAATGGTGCAGACACAGTTTCATAAGACGGTGAAGATTGTTCGTTCGGATCATGGAAGGGAATTAAGCTCACACCCTCTACATGAGTTCTATGCGTCCCATGGGATACTTAATCAACAATCATGTTCATGTGTCTCGCAACAAAATGGGCTCGTCAAGCGGAAGAATCGACATGTTCTGGAACTAACTCGGGCAATCTTGTTTCATTCCTGCGTACCTACTGGTTTTTGGGTCGAAGCAGTGCACACTGTTGTTTATCTCATAAACCGGCAAGTGTCCTCTATCCTTGGCAATCAATCCCCTTATCATGCCCTCTTTCATCGCACTCCGAACTACTCTTTCCTCCGATTTTTTGGCTGTCTTTGTTTCGTCTTACTCCCGAAGCGTGATCGTCATAAGTTAGCTCCGAAAATAGTTCGGTGTGTTTTTCTTGACTATGATGATGAGCATAAGGGCTACCTATGCTATGATACAGAACAACGTCGTATGCACATTGCATACCATGTTATGTTTCTTGAACAGGTGATGCATTATTCCCTCGCTAAGGAGACCCCAGCAGCTTTCCTTGATTTTCTTAGGCCTGTGCATCATATGGAACCGCCGCCTACTGTCATCTATCCACCAGCGAATGATCCCGCTGGTCATGATCCTGGCACCTCTCCGCCGCTCACTCCGGTTCTAGCTCGTCCACTCAGACTTCCTCTCCTCATGGTACATGCTCGCAACTCTCTCCGCTTCCTTTTTCGCTTGGCCTGAGTTCTAGCTCGGCTGGCAGCTCGAGCGCTTCTTCGTCTACGGGCTGTGGGGACTCATTAGAATCCAGGGGAGGCATGGACAATATTCTGCCGAGTCCACCACCCTTGCCTCGCCGGTCTGATCGAGTCAATAGAGGAGCTCCGCTAGTTAAGCTTTTGGATTATGTGGGCTATTCGGCAGATGCCATACCAATTCCCACTTACTACAGGTTCGCACAAGGTCATCCGGAGTGGGATGAGGCGATGCAAGTGGAGACAGATGGTGTTGGAAGCAAACAATACGTGGGAATTAGTTCCCAGAACTCCGGAGATGTAAGTTATTGGATTCAAGTGGGTGTATAATGTGAAAGTCAAACTTGATGGCACTCTAGAACGCTTCAAGACTAGAGTGGTAGCTCAAGGATTTCGACAAGAGTTCGGCATTGATTACGACAAGACCTTCGCTCCCGTCGCAAAAATGCCAAGGGTACGCACTCTTTTGGCACTCGCAGCAATGAAGGGATAGTCATTAATACAGTTCGATGTGAGGAACGCTTTTATTCACGGTGATCTAAAGGAAACAATTTACATGGAGCCACCTCTAGGGTATAAGAAAGCAGGACCGAACATGGTATGTAAGCTGGTTATATCTCTTTATGGCCTGAAACAAGCTCCTCGGGCTTGGTTCGAAAAATTTCATGGAACTATTATGCAGAATGGTTTTCAACAAAGTCATAGTGATCCCTCATTGTTTGTTCGGTAAACTATCAAAGGGATGACTGCTCTGCTGCTTTAGGTTGACGACATGATAGTTACAGGAGATGATAGAGACGAAATCCATGAGCTAACAAGAACTCTCCATCAAGCGTTCAATCTGAAAGAACTAGGTGAGGTTGCTTACTTTCTGGGTTTAAAAGTCCGGCGCACAGCTCAGGGACTTTTTGTGTGTCAAAAGCAGTCAGATCTGCTAGCTTTAACACAGTTTGAAGATTGCAGGCCGTGTTCCACACCCATGGAACAAAACCTGAAGTTGAGCAAAGATGACGGAGACTTGTTAGACAATCAGTCTTTCTATAGAAGTGAGGTGGGTAGCCTGATATATCTCACTCGCACTCGGCCGAATACCTCGTATGTTGTGCAGCTCGTGACCCAGTTTCTGGGAGTAGCTACGACAACACATTTGGACGCGGTAAACAGATTACTGCGATATCTCCGTCATACAAGTGATGTGGGACTATTCTTTCCAGCAGGAGGAGAACCGAACAATGAAGCCTTTGCCGATGCCGATTATGCAGGATGTTTGGATATCAGGCGCTCAACATTTGGCTTATGCATAAAGTTTGGGAATTCGTTTGTTTCCTGGAGATGCATGAAGCAAGATCGAGTCTCTAAGTCTTCAACAGAAGCAGAATATCGCTCTATGTCAGAGGTAAGCTCAGAGATGGTCTGGTTACATAGACTGATTGCGGAATTGGGAGTATCGTGTCTTAGTCCTATGGTGATTAAGGGAGACAACACCAGTTCAATACAAATTGCATTGAATCCTGTCTTGCATGATCGGACCAAGCACATAGAAGTGCATGTTCACTATATTCGGCAACTGGTAGCAGAAGGGACAGTTCATCTTCGGTACTTGAGAACGGACGAGCAGCCGGCTGATGTGTTGACAAAGGTTATGTCATCAAGCAGGTACTAGTATCTTTCTTCCAAATTGATGTTAAGACCCAACATCAATTTGAGGAAGGATGTTAATTATATGAGAACTTTATTGTAATAGTCTTCGTATAGGTTATGTAGCTAGGGTTTGATGTGATCAAACCTATATAAACTATTGTGCCTGCACCGAAGAAGTCAATATATGCTCACTATAGTCAAACAACAATTTGTCTTTTCTTTTTCTTCTTCCTTACCTGGAGAATGAGTGTCTTTAACGAAAACAAGAAAAACAAAACTGACCAATTCATAATCACCGACGGCCGCTTTTGGGGGTTTTTCTTCTTAATATAATCACCACTTGAAAATGGGTTTAAAGGCATTACCAGAAATCCTTTAGATATATAATATACGTAGCCTAATCTTACCCTCCCTTTATCAATCTCAATTGAAGGATCTTAATCATGTCGACGACGAAGGAAACCGTCAGCGTGACCGGCGCCGGAGGATTCTTAGGCTCTTGGGTTGTTCACAACCTACTCTCCAAAAACTATCTGGTCCGTGGCACCGTCAGAGACCCCTGTAAGTTTTTCCTTTCCATATTTCTCCGATCAAAAGTCTCCCCGGCGGTGCTGACTTTTTTAAAATTGCCAACTTCCTCTTTTTAAGTGGATGCAAAGAATGCCCACTTAAAGCAACTCCCCCACGCATCCACGCATCTGGAGCTCGTGAAGGCCGAATTACTGGACTACCCTTCTCTGCTTTCTGCAATTCAAGGCTGCTCCGGCGTCTTCCATGTCGCTAGTCCTGTTCCCTCTTCCGTCGTACTGAATCCACAGACTAGTGTATATATCCTATACTCCTAACAAACTGAACTTGAAGCACTCGAAAATTTTCCTTGATCTCAACGAAAGTGAATTTAAAAAAAAAAAAGGTTTTGTTTTCCAGGTTGAGATCATCGAGCCAGCAGTGACTGACTCTGACTGGAACCCTAAATGTTCTTAAAGCCTGCATTGAGACGAAGGTGAAGCGAGTGGTGGTTGTTTCTACTGGTGTTGCTGTCATCATGAACCCTGCCTGGCCCAGCGGTCGACCCATGGACGAGTCTTGCTGGTCCGATGCGGAATATTGCAGAGCTACTGAGGTGTGAACGATATTGTTTATCGATGCGGTTATTGGTATTAGTTTTCCCCCTCCCTTATTGGTTAATTCCTAACCATCATATTGATTAGTGGTTAAGCGAAACTGATGAACCGATTAGTATCATATCCAAAATTGTAATTTTTTTCCTGTTGATGTTGATTATCTACAGAGATGGTATCAAGTTTCCAAGACAGAAGCAGAGAGCCAGGCAATTGAGTACGGGAAAGCCACTGGACTCGATTTAGTAACCGTTTGTCCCAATCTCATCATGGGCCCTGTTATTCAGCCAACGAGGAACGCAAGCACCTTGGTTCTCTCCATGGCTTTGAAAGGTAGCGCGGTTGTTATCCCGTGATAATTTTGGAAAGATGTCACAAAGGATTTCCCTTTCGTTCATCATTCTTGCTACTGTAATTGCAGAAGGAGGTCAGGACTCTGTGGAGAACAAGCATTGGATGGTTGTGGATGTGCGTGATGTAGCCGAAGATTTGGCCTTGGTGTATGAGAAACCCGAGACGCAGGGGAGGTACATATGCTCGGCTCATTCGGTTCGTGTTAAGGACATGGTTGAGGTGATGACGGAGAAATACCCTGACTACAATCGTCACAAGAAGTAAGCTTCCTTATATGAAACTATAAATCGCGGTTCGGTGCTCATGCATACACTTGTTCCCAGTTTGATTTGGTTTGGAAAGAGCATGGTTCAAATTGCAGTTTGAAACGTTTTTTTCTTTTCTTTTTTTGGCAGCTTTATTGAGGAGGGACAGGAAAAGAAAGAAACCAGCTCGAAAAAATTTCAGAGACTAGGTTGGAGTTACCGTGCACTACAAGAAACTCTTGTGGAATCTGTGGAGAGCTGTAAGAAGGCAGGCTTCTTGGACTAGATGCCTGGATGGGAGGCATTGGTGATTAGAAATTTGTCCAAAGCTATGAAGTTAAATTGATTTCTTCAGAGAGTTGCAAATCAAAGTGGAAGTTTATTTCAAGATACTGCTCTCTATTAATCGCAAATGAACATCCACCATTGAATCATGCTTTTGTTTGAAAGATTTCTAAAGATGTGTCATCCACTGTATTGGTTTGAGCCGTCGAAAACATGAAATTTTGATTTAATTGTATGATGAATCAAAAATTTTGATACGGAGAGTCTGGTGTAGTGACTATAGATGTTTTTTTTTTTTTTGCCATAGGTATCCCACAAGTTGGGAGAGAGCAAGATACGAAATATAAATACAAAACCTTTGCAGGTCAAATCACAAAAGATAAATAAGGAAGAAACGTCGGTGATCCAACGATAAGAGGGCTTTTTTTGCCACGATATGGGCAGCCCTAATATACCTACACATTAACCAGAATCCATGTATTTGCTTCAACCCTTTTCAGGCGGAAGTGATGGACCAAACTCCTGTGGTTGTCAAGTTACCAGAAAGCAGCAATTCCCTGCAATTGCAAGTATAACAACAAAATATCCGCGGAGCAAAAACACGAATGAAATTAAATAACTAAGGATACAAATTCAAGATACCCACACGTTGACTCCCCATCGAAACCATAAAGTCCATATGTCTTTGTCATGACGCTTACACCCCACCTTTACAAGTTGAAGTTGTGCGAGATGAATTCGATAAGCAGCTTCACCTGCAAAACAAACAAATGCAAAAGGCAGACCAAGCCAGCAAACAAATACAACGTGCCACAAGCAATTTCCTGCAAAATAACCAACTTAGTAAAAGTAGACAGGCCCAAGTAGCCAATGCATATATAATTAATCTCGCCAAAAGGCCCAAAACCACATAGGCTTTTGCTTTACCAATCACTGCCAAAAACTTCCAAACATACTACACCACGGCCAAGCTTTTCTTCGACAAGCAGAAAATAATCAATCATAAAAATGAATTTAAACAAAAATAAAATATTCAAGCGTAAGTCTCTATAAAGCACATTTGTCGACATAAGCTGCTTTAGGATAAACATTACGTTATTGTATTTAATTAAATAAAAAAGAGTAGTTGTTAATTAACCTTGTTAAATTAATGAAGCTTTAGAAATGTAATAATTATTTCCACCAAGCAATAACGATGGAAAAAGGTAAGAATTAGAACCTGCATCAATGAATAAACATAATAGGCTAAGCAACCAGTACAAATCATGGCCATTTAAGAAATTCCAATTTAAACAGTCACAGCAACAAACATGATTGCAAGGATGTCAATTCCTTCCCCTCCCATACCTATATTCAAATACAATAGCTTTATCCTGAGTAGAGCATGGGTTTCTGTTCTTATAAGATAGAAAGATAGAGTTATGAGTGATTGAAAGTTATTGCTACCCATCCCCATAATAACTCGTCGAATGAAATGAAACCCATTCCACTCGTAATTTAATTAATCAGTTAATCGGTGCTAAGCACGCGACGGGGAGAAGAGTAATCGGCGGCGGCACTGCTGGGAGTAGTATCAATAAGCAAGTAACCCAAATGCAGTAATTCTCAATCTCAGATTATGGATTTGATTATACATTAGAGTAGAATAAGCTCCACTTAGAGAAAGAGATGGAGCATAATATCAAGGAAAGTCTAGGATAGCAGCTCCAGGAACTTCTGATACCAATTTATTTAGGCAGAACAGAATAGCATGTTGATATTCAATCCTTTGGACAACATTAACATTCTGAAGACACAATGGTAAATTTCGAAACTAAGATGGACAGGATAAGATCTGGACTGTATTAAAACGTACAGTTCTAGGCCAGAAGGCCATAATGCCGCATGACGCTGGCTATTCCAAATTGGGATCTAGGTGATTGTAAGAAGACGAGAACCTTTTCAGGAGAGTTTGAAAAGACTGTACGTGTTAGAATACCCGGGGATGCCCAAATGTTGTCCCGATCGAAAGGGATGACAAGCTACCGTACGTTGATTATCGTTTCGGAAATGGACGCAACGCAATAGGGGAAATGTTAGAGAAGAAGCAGCGGTGGAAGGTGGACGGCGTTGGATCTGATGCGGCTACGACGGCGATAGCGAGACTCACTGGGGCGATTAGATCCGGTCTAATCTGAGATCCACTTCCTAGATGTTAGCTTGGTCGAAACTGGTGGCTAGGCTACCGGACGGAATACAGGATCAGAAGAGCTGAAGGGGAAAGCAGGTGGAGCATGGAGGAGATACGGTTGTGGAGACGGGCGATGGATTCCACCAGCAGGTCAGCCTTACTTTACAGAACCATTTGAGGGTAACGATACAAAGTCGAGTGGCTTGCTTGGCTAACGATGATGAAGAGTGCCCTTACCGCCAGACAGGATTCGAATAGAGAGAGGAACTATAGATGTTGTTTTAATTTTGAGATAAATGATTATTTTAAATGTTTAGATATAGTGTATGATTGATTCTTTTACAGCCTGTTTGGAACCAATTCCATATGGAAAAGAATTCCATTTCTTATGAGAATCGGAATTCCTGTAGGAATTCATTTTCAAAATTCCTGTTTGGTACAAATCTTAAACTTTTGGAATTGATTTATGCTTTTGTGTTCGGAGAAGATGGAAATGAATTCTTATAAACACTTTTACGATAATGTCCTTATAAGCTTTTTACTTATATGAACAAGTGTCTACTAAACAATACTATATTGGTGGTGTGATTAAAAAACTGTTGATCGAAATCCAAGCTGATATATAATTTTATCGGTATGAAATGATTGAATCTCGATATATAATCATAAATATCATAGTTAGTAAAATATGATAGGGTAATTTATATATAAAATACGTACTGGCATTTTACGTCATCTCTAAACTAATGGTACTTTAATAGTACTTCAATAGTTATAAAATATAAGAATTAATTATTTTAAAAATAAATAAATATATACATAATACTTAAGTTTGCAATTTAATTCATTAAATATAGATATTAAATGTGTTATGAAGGTTTTATACGTGTTTACTACGGGAGGCGTAAAATGAACCAAAAAAAAAAACAAAATGGCCTAATAATAATATGGATACGAAAGTTTTAAACGGATAAAATATGTACTAGTATATATACGTGTATTAAACAAAATATTTAATTCGATGTTGGAAGTTTCATACAAAATAAATTCTAAGTATGCAATTTATGCTCTAACAAAACCACAAACAAGTAAAAAGAATATACAATATAATACGAACCATCTAACAAATCTAGAATACATAGCTAACAAACCAAAAAAAGAAAATATGAGCAGATCATAAAAAAGGGAATTTTTTTTATTCATCTTGTATTTTCACACGCTCATAGACAAAAAAAAAATTAAAAGATTATTTGACAAAGCCAGAAAGAAAAAATTGCACAAAAAACATAGAGCAACATCTAGGGCCGTTTCAGGAAAATGAATGGTTAAAAGGAAGTGGGTCCCACTATTTCCAAAGAATTGGAGGAAGTCCGACCATATTTGATCGGAATTGTAATTCCGAAGTTTCGGGGGTCAAGAATTCCATTTCCAACATAACCTTTGATTCCAAACATAGGAATTGATGCACTTTAGGGAATTCCATTTCCTACAAAATTGTTCATTCCAAACAGTATGGATTTCTACTTTGTCAACCAGTCTCACGCTTTTCAATGTTTTAATGGGGTAGACTCTACCTTCATAAGAAAATGATTTCAATGTTTTAATGTGATAAACTCGAACTTGAAATCCGGAGTGCAAGGGGACGTCTGGTAAGCAATATTTTGGTCGGA